CTTTTAGGATTTTAGGGATCCTACACCTCCACTATAGCCTCCAGGACTCCTTTCCACCATATAGGACTTTGGATTGTCCTTCCCCTCGCTCCTGCTTTCTCCTTTCAACCAAGCTCCACAGCAGTGCAAGGGAGAAAAAATATAAAATAGTGTAATACTGCTATTACCCCATGCAGTACTAATAATAATACCAGGTCACTCACATTTCAAAAGATGAATAAAAGCATTAATTTATTGCCTCCATCGGCTAGCATAAATTCCAGATTCTAGAAACCTCACAGCCTATTTTAGCAGAGGATGACAGGATACAGCTCAAACACACAAAAATGGCTGCTTGGAACACACCGCTCGGCGTGCGTTCCACTCATCGGAATTGACGCAGGACGTAAGGACACTCTATTATTTAATATTGATTTATACACTGTATGGATTTGTGTGTATGTTATTTATTTGGTGAGGGGGTTTTGATTTGCGCTGTTTATTTATATTTTTTAATTACATATAAAAGAAGGTGCAGCGCTTTAAACATTAAAACATGCAAGATATAAAATTGCAACATATACAGAAGTATCTCTGCAAAACACAGGCAGAGTATAATTGTTATACTGCCCCTTATAGTCTCAATTTCATCCAGAAGTATAGTTCATAATCTCCCAGTGAGTGGGGTGAGGTGAACAAATCAGATGTATTACTGACACACGGTGATAACCAAATAAAGTGATGCGTGGTGATATCCGAAACTGATAAAAGATTGTGCACTCACCAGATGCACAACCAATATGCGCATGTAAGAGATAACCCCTCTTAAGGTATGGTTCCAGGATTCATCAAAGACAAGGTCTGGTCAAACTTTACGGTGTAGACCCTCAGCTGTCACGCATGGTTCTGTCCCCTATGGCTCCTTTGCTCCACAGATGGTAGAAGGCTCACCACAAAGCCCCAGAAAGAAACAGGGAGGCCAGAATAGCGTGATAACGCTTAAATAAGCGTGCATTTATTTCATCCAGTGACAGGGTATAAAAACAATGTTGAGACAATACTGACCAGATAATAAAGTTGACCGCCGGGACCCCAATAGTGCCGGCGGTAGTAAACGTCACTGTGCCGCAGTTCCACCCTGACGCGTTTCGTGCAACCGCACTTACTCATAGGGGGTATGCTCTGGGCGCAGGACGTTTGGTAATGCATATATATAGAGATCAAAATCGCGCTCGTTCAATCAACGTGCGCCATTTTGTGATGGACTTACGTCTTCAAACGTGCGCCATCTTGTTGAAGTGCGCGCATGCGCGATGGTGGTATACGGAGAATTTGTGAGCGCCAAACCCTTCGTTCCAATCGCGCATGCGCGGACGCCGTTTTACCGGAGGCCGAATATGATTGTGTCACCTCCAAGCAAGAAAACTAGGAGGGAAAATTAAAAAGATAAACAAAAGTGGTATAGGGTAGGGTATCATCACTCTTCATGACCCGGGTACTGTGCATGGGCACCTGAAGACAATATACCAGTTTTACGTTCAGATGCCAATAATATAACAAATAAACGCATAAGTAACGATGCCATGTATGAGTCATAGCAATCGCACGATAAAAACAAATCAGCACTCTATATGTACCCATATATTAGGGATTAACGATAAAACCCCCCTTATTCTTGTGGTACTAATTTATAATAGTTACCACAACCACTATATATATATATATGAATAGAGGTATTCTTTGATTGAAAGGATGACACAAAAATGTATATATTTCAAATGTGAAAAACATGTACATTCAATATGAAAATATTATAAAAAATACACAAAATATAAAATATATAAAATTAGAATCCGCAATGATCCAAAAATATATAATGAGATGTTGATAGAAACCGTTAGGCCAAAAATGGAGATAAAAAATAAAATGGAGATATAAAAATGGAGATATAAAAATGGAGATATAAAAAGAGGATGGATAAATCACAGTAAAATGGATAAATACCAAGATGGATGAATATCAATGAAATGGGAAAAAAGATAAAAACTCAACTATTATATATAAAACAATTTATATCCATTTCAACATTTGCGGTGTCTACTTTCCAAAAAGGGGTCATTTAGGGTATTTCAAAGCCTTTTAAACTAATAGGTAGCGAGGAAGTGAAATGAGGAATTTACACACCATCAGGCACTCAAAGGTGTCATTGGATTTTGGGCTCCTGTTTGAGGCTGGGCTGCCAAAAAGTCTCACATGTGGTATCCCCATACTCTGGAGAAGTAGCAGAATATATTTTGGGGTGAAATTCCACATATACCCATTGCATGTGTGAGCATATATCAGTTAATCGACAACTTTGTGTGGTTTAAAAAAATATATATTTTTTTTTTTTTTTATTTTCCAAAAACTTTTGGAGAAACAAAAAAAATCTTCCATGGACTAAATATGCCTCTCATCAAATAGCTTAGGGTATCTATTTTCTGAAAAGGGGTCATTTGGAGGTTGTTTGTACTGCCCTGGCATTTTAGCACCCCAAGGAATGTTATAGGCAATCAAAAGTAAAGGTTGTGTAAATGCCAGTATCTATACCATAGTTTGTAGATGCTGTAACTTTCACAAAAACCAGTGAATATACTTACTGGGTTTTTTTTTTTTTTGCTTTTTTTTTTTTTTTTACCAAAGACATTTTTGGCCTAAATTTTATTTTATTGGAATTTTTTTTTTTTTTTTTTTTTTTTTTAAACAGAAAATGTCCAGTGGTGATCAAACACCTCAAAGAGCTCTATTTGTGTGAAAAAATGCATACATTTATTTTGTGTACAGTGTTGGATGACCACGCAATTACCAGTTGAAATAGCGCAGTGCCGAATAGCAACAAATAGCCTGGTTATTAAGGGGGGGTAAATCTTCCGAAGAGGAAGTGGTTAGTTAGAAACGGTGAGACTGGATCACAGCCCAACTTGGTCACAATTTTTTGTTTTCTACGACTTTACTCCAATTGTCCGTTTACCAATGTACAAATATATTAAGGGCTTGTACAGGTAAGGCGTTTCCTCTTGCAAAACATGACCGGAGACCTCTATCCACATTGATGAATTCTGGTATTGAAAGGCTCTACACACAGGTGAAGGGCAAACCATACTGTAAAAATTGGATATGAAAAAGTAAAGGAGATACGTAAATGCCTTTGTCTTGTCTCCGGGACAGGAAGTGACTGGGAATCTAGTTGATCAGAGATGACACTGTTAGGGCAACATGAACAGTGTTGTCTTGGTCTATTGTGTAGAGCAGCCTTTCTCAACCTTTTCAACTCCGAGGAACCCTTGATGTAACTTTCTTATCTCGGGAAACCCCTGCTAAAAATTACTATATCTGTAACTCATGATACATTAGTGTGATGTTCAGAAGAAAGAATGCTCCTTACACTGGTCATTGGGAAGAATTACCCCTTAGATTGCTAAAAAGATCAGTGGTGTCAGTGGGAACTTACGTGGGAGGCAGAAATTGCTAATTTCTCAAGGAACCCCGGCAACCTCTGAAGGAACCCTAGGGTTCCACAGAGCCCTGGTATAGACTGATATAAGTAAACAAAGAACATGAACTTTCACGGTCCTGTCACTGAAGCACAAAACTGACTAGTAATAAGCAGGTTTACTAACCCATTAGGTCTGCCAATTTGATGTAAGACTTATTTTTATGCTACTGCAATGACAGTCTTGGTACAATGCCTTTCATGCAACTTTAACCACTTCCCGACCGGCCGTTGTATATAAACGGCCAGACGGTGGCACTGCAGGGTTGGGGTGCCGTTTATAAACTGCCTCCGCGCTCCCTGGGAGCACGCAGCACCGCGATCCGGTGCCCACTGTGTCCTCAGGACACCGTGAAACACTGATCGTCGGACGGGACCTCTGTACGAGGTCCCGATCATGTGATCACTGATTGGCCAATCAGTGATCACATGCAAAGTAGTAAGCAAGATCTCACTTCTGACATCATTGCTTACTACATGTGAAATCTGTGAATGGGGTCACATGGAATGGGGTCACATGGTACAAGGCTATTAACAGCCTTGTACCATGTGACAAGCTGTGACCAATCACAGATCACTCAGTAGTTCTCAATGGCTGCAAGAATGCAGACAGAGAAATTATTGCTTTTACATCCTATATGGGTGTAAAAGCAATCAATGTAAAAACAAAAAATCTTCATCACCCCCCAAAAGTAGTACAGTGTCACCATGGTGATACTGTACTGCTAGGGTGACCGTATGTAAAAAAAAAAAAAAAAATAATAATAAAAATAAATAATATAAAAATTTAAAAAAAATGTTTAAAAATTATAATTTTGGTTATAAACTAATTTGGCTTATTTTTTTACTAAAAATATAACGGAATAAATTTTGGCCAGGATTTATGATGAAATATTATTTATTTGCAAAATTGTATAAGAAAAACACTTTTTTGGACATTTTCATTTACATAGCAAAAAAAATAAAAATCCCAGCGGTGAATAAACACCACCAAAATAAAGTTGTTTTTTTTTTATCTGCCTCAAAAAAATGGTAAAAAATTCATATGGGTACAGTGTCGCATGACCGCGCAATTGTCATTCAAAGTGTGATAGCGCTGAAAGCTGAAAATTGCCCTGGACAGGAAGGGGGTAAAAGCGTCCTGACAGGAAGTGGTTAAGAAGCTGCACAACATAATTAAGATAATTGCTTTTGGTACAGTTTCACAAAGTATAGTGTTTTGTTTGTGGTGTTTTTGTTTTTTTTTTTTTGTTTTTTCTCTCATCCAAATCATCTTGTTCTGTGAAGTACTGTGTATGTTTTTGCTTTCATGCCAGAAATACTGCACTGATAGCATAATTTGGGGACACCTGTGCTGGTGAGTTTTGCTCTGTCAAGTCGCACCTTTTTTGTGTATGTTTATTTCAAACGTGTAGTATCTGTTTTTGAGCTTTCTCTGACACTATCTTATTGTATTATATTATATATTTTATTTAATTTTTTTATGTAGAGACTGATGGAAGTGAATTATCTGGGCAGTGTATATGCTAGTCGTGCTGTGATTTCCACTATGAAGGAACGAAGGATGGGAAGAATTGTATTTGTGTCTTCTCAGGCTGGACAGCTGGGATTATTTGGATACACTGCATATTCTCCTACAAAATTTGCTCTCCGAGGACTAGCAGAAGCACTACAAATGGAGGTTTGATAAACAAGGCCATTTTCTCCTTTATACTGCCCTTCTTCAACGTTCAGTCTTGTCTTTTGAAAGCATTTCTCTATCTGCAAGGCAAAAAAACCCTAAACTGGTTCTGTGTCTGTTATATCCCTGTTGTTACCAACATTGGGTAGAACAACCAGCTTGGAGTCTGCTAAAGAGTTCAATGCTTTAATATATCATTCTGTTTCTGATATGAAGAAAAACCTTTAGCCAACTTCTGTTTAGCCATCAGTTTTTGGGGTTTTTTTTGTTTTGTTTTTTTTTGTTTTTGTTTTTTTGTTTTTTATGAAAATTCATCACTTTTTTTTTCCCCAGCTTAAACCACTGGAAATCTTTCATTACACTGACCCATAATCAGTTGTGTAATCTTGTGAAAAGTGTTCACAATGTGTTCAGTTGTGACACTAGATCTTCCATAAAGAGCACATGAAATGAATAGAGAATTTTGTTCTTTGGGCTTATACTGTGTGAATCTGTGCACCTTAAACAATAGTCCGTTTTTTGACAATTTTTTTTTTTTTTCTACATGAAAGATGATTTATTCAGTAGTATGTTACCTAATGTAAAATGTTCCAGCATCTTCCTCCCGGGCGGGTGGGAGATCCTACTGCTGCACCCACTGTTACAATTTGTCACTCTGTCCACACGGCCAGGTCATTCATTTAGATACTTGTGAATGAATGCCTACAAGTACCATCATCTATTGTGGCAGATGGCTCATAGTTCTCAATGAGCTACTAGAGCACTGGTGAGCACTCTCGTAGTCCTGCTCTCAAGTAACTGCCTGCCTGCACAAGGTATGAACAGACAGCTATGCTGAGTCTGCAGGAGCCTGAGATTGCACCCGTGATCTGCTTGTTGTGTATGCAATGCTTTGCAGGCACCTTTTTTGTAAAAAAAAAAAAAAAAAAAAAAAAGTGAATAAAGTACTCCTCTCCAAAAGGAGATTCTCCCCTCTCCAGAATCTATAGCAGACCCTTATTACCCCCCACCCAACCCCCACCCCACAGCACCTTGTCCCCATGTTTGATGACAAGATCCTCTTCCCTACAACCCTGGGATGGTGGGGAGGTGGGTTCCCAGATCCTGCCCCTAATGAATGCCTATGGGGTGCATTGTACCCCTACCCTTTCACCCAAAAAAATTGAGGTAAGAACATTTTTTGATAGAGGGGATATAGATATTCTAAAAAGTATACACGCCCTTGTTAAAAAGTCAGGTTTCTGTAATGGAAAAAGTTCTGAAATTATTTCTTTATTTTCTTTTTTTTTTTTTTTTTTATAATGTAACCTAGAAACTGTACAACTCAGTTGAACAACAAACTGAAATCTTTTAGGTGGAGGGAAGTAAAAATAAAAAACTAAAATAATATGGTTGCATAAGTGTGCACACCCTTAAACTAATACTTTGTTGAAGCACCTTTTTGATTGTATTCCAGCACTCAGTCTTTTTTGGGTATGAGTCTATCAGCATGGCACATCTTGATTTGGCAATATTTGCTCACTCTTCCTTGGAAAAAAAAACACTCCAAATCTGTCAGATTGCGAGGTCATCTCCTGTGCACAGCGCCTCTTCAGATCAACCCACAGATTTTTGATCGGATTCAGGTCTGGGCTCTGGCTGGGCCATTCCAAAACTTTTAATCTTCTTTTGGTGAAGCCATTCCTTTGTTGATTTGGACGTATGCTTTGGGTTGTTGTCATGCTGAAAGATGAAGTTCCTCTTCTTCATGTTCAGCTTTCTAGCAGAAGTCTGAATGTTTCGTGCCGATATTGACTGGTATTTGGAACTGTTCATAATTCCCTTTACCTTGACTAAGGCCCCAGTTCCAGCTGAAGAAAAACTGCCGAAAAGCATGATGCTGCCACCACCATGCTTCACTGTGTGGGTATGGTGTTCTTTTGGTGATATACAGTGTATTTGCGCCAAACATATCTTTTGGAGTCATGGCCAAAAAGTTCAACCTCGGTTTCATCAGACCATAACATCTTTTCCCATATGCTTTTGGGAGACTTCAGATGTGTTTTTTTTTTGCAAAATTGTGTGTGTGTGTGTGTGTGTGTGTGTGTGTGTGTGTGTGTGTGTGTGTGTGTGTGTGTGTGTGTGTGTGTGTGTGTGTGTGTGTGTGTGTGTGTGTGTGTGTGTGTGTTTTTTCAGTCTTGCCACTCTACCCCATAGCCCAGACAAATGAAGAATATGGGAGATTGTTGTCACATGTACCACGCAGCCAGTACTTGCCAGATATTCCTGCAGCTCCTTTAATATTGCTGTAGGCCTCTTGGAAGCCTCCCAGACTAGTTTTCTTGTCTTCATCAATTTTGGAGGGACATCCAGTTCTTGGTAATGTCACTGTTGCGCCATATTTTCTCCACTTGATGCGGACTGTGTTCCATGGTATATCTAATGCCTTGGAAATTTTTTTGTACCCTTCTCCTGACTGATACCTTTTAACAATAAGATCCCTTTGATGCTTTGCAAGCTCTCTGTGGACCATGGCTTTGTTCAGTCCTGCTTTGGAAGATTGCATTCAGAAGGTGATGGTGGGTAAGAGTAAATGGTTATGGCTAAAAGAAGGCTAAGCTGAGGATCCTGCCACACCCTACTTCAAAAGAGTTCCTTTCACCAATCTCAGGCCCCTGGCGCTAAGCTGAAACCACAGTCCCAGTTTTCTATGAAACCACACACTCAAGTCCTCTTCACTATGAGGGGACACTTCTACCCATCCGGATAGGGGGACATTTGCTGGCCCTCATGAAAGTTTTTGGCAGAGGGAGTGCTATCAAATGGGTCTGCAGTATAGTGACTTGCAGCTAGACGCTGATCTTTCAGAGCTTTCTCCCTCTGCGCTTTATACTTTCAAATGTTTCTTTGAATCCAAAAAAAAATTGCTCTTCTGCAAGCTCTTAACCATTCATACCCTAATGAAGGCTCGGCAGGTGGCTTCAAGGATGATTTACCACAGAATTTGGAAATCCTTACTTTGTCGTGTGAGGCTAGGGGATTCTATCCTGTATGTCATGGTGCACATCCTAGCTTTTCTTCAATCTGAAGTTGATCTGGAATTGGCCTCGAGTGCGATCAAGGGTTAGATTTTGACCTTGGTAGTCCTTTTTCAGAGACAGATTGCCTCACGTTCCTTGGTGCATGCCTTTTTGTATAAGGCTTCATGTGTAATCCACCAGTCAGGGCTCTGTGGACTTCAACTTGGTAATTTTCTGTATTGCAGAAATCTCCATTTGAAACATCCAATATATCCCTTTTAGTCCTGACTCCGTTATTTATCTGGTTGCCATTACTTTGGCTTGCAGAGGTTTGGAATTGCCTACCCTTTCCTGTAGGGAACCCTTCCTGTAGGGAACCCTTCCTGGTGCTCTGCCACATGGTCGTTCTACAGTCTCGGCCTTCATTTTTACCTAAGGTGGTTTCTTGCCTTTATCTCAACCAGGACATTGTGTTGCTGTCTTTCTATCCTAAGCTGCAGACACTGGGGGACAAGGTTCTTCATACTTTGGATGTGATTTGTGCTTCTTGAAGGCCCGAGGAAGGGTCATGCAGCTTCCAAGTCCACCATTTTTTTTTAATGGATCCATCAGCTTATTACTCATGCTTACAGTCTAAAGGGTGAAGTTCCATCGTTTCGGTGACTGCTTATTCTACCAGGAGTGTGATTGCTTTCTGGGCTATTCAACATCGTACTTTGGCAGCTCAAGTTTTGTAAAGCTGCTACTTGGTAAATGCAAATAAAACCTGCGCAGTGGACTGGAGGTAGTGTTAATTGAGCTGGCTGCTGCTAGCAGTACCACAAATATGTGAATAAGAATGTAAATGCTGCGCTGCCACTTGTGATTTTTAAATGCTAAAAATTGCTATCTGTGCCACACTTCAATCGTGATTGTGACCCACAAATACGTGACTGTTGCCATATAAACATACTGTGCCTTATATTCACCCTTCCTCCCCAGGGCCTCTGTGCATCCCTTTGGTTAGGAGGAAGTATGTATACATATCTATACCATGCGTGCATAAAACCAATGCAATATACTGTGCTATGAAAGTGCCAATACAATAATCATGGACATCAGTCCTCCCAATAAAAAGGAGGTATATAATTAAATATATGCAGTGCACTTGTGTGCAAATATATGTTTCAAAGTCCCAGTGTAAAACACTTTCCACATTCACTTCCCAAGTGCTACAATGTGATTCAGTGATCAATCTTCTTATCCGTAGATCTTTGTGTTGAATGCTCCCCCTCCAGAGCCCCACTCACCACAAGATGTTGACCACCTGCATAGGTAGGTCAAACTGCGCGTTTGGTACTTCAGCAAGCCTCCAATCTAATCCGCTTCCTGTGTACTCTTGAAGCTTCTATCCACTGGTTTTGCACTCCATACGTGAAAAACACTCCAGACCATCCACAATACTACTCCAGCGCCAGCTTGCGAAACAACGACTTTAGCCCTGTCTAACAGTATGTGTTTAAAAACAGAGGGTTTTGTTTGCACACATTTTCAAATACATGTGTAAGCCACAGTCCCACGTCAAGGGTACTCTGTATACTGTGGACCTAACTAAAATTTTTGTGTGTAATTTATTACACCTCCATGGAAATATGGAAACGCCAGGTAAAAATTAAATCGATATCTAATATGGTGTTGGACCGCCTTTGGCATCCAAGACAGCCTGAATTCTCCTAGTAATAGATGGTGGCATCTGATACCACTCTTCATGCAAAAACCTTTCCAGTTCGTGCAGAGATGCCGGAGACCGAAAACGAACTCAAACCTTGTCCTCCAAAATTGACCATAATGGCTCTATGATATTAAGATGTGGAGCCCAGGGAAGGTGTGAGGATTAGTCTGCATGCTCATCAAACAATTTGACAAGACCAGCTGTGTGAATCGGAGTAGTATTGTCTTTGTAAATGGCACTGTCTTCAGGAAAGAATGTCTGCACCATTGGGTGCACATGGTCAGCCAAACATTTGTACATAGTCGTCGCTGGCAGTGACTCTGCATTTCAAGATGATGGGGCCTGCTGAATACTAAGATATGGCTGCCCAAACCATAATTGCGCCACCGCCATGCTTTACCGTTGGCACAAGAGTCTTCAGAATGTGTGCACCACACATAAACACGTCCAGTGGTTGGGAACAGTGTGAAGCTTGATTCATCAGATCATATTAGTCTTTCACAGCAGTTTTTCCTCCTGTTTACATTGCTCCTTAGCAGTACAGATGTCCGATCCAATAAAGTTTTTGTCATACGGGATCATTGGCTCCTGCTATTCTGTGAGCACTTCCTGTCTCCAACAAAATGGCGCCAACCAATTTACATGGTGCCCTGCAGGCTATTTAAAACAGTCTGTCCATGACATTGGCTAGTAGGCGTGCCCCCTGAGGATGTGCATGCGCATGAAACTCGTTGGGTGGAGCCTTACGTGCTGACGTCACGCTGCCGGACCTTGGAGCAGCAGCCAGCCATCATGGTATGCTTTTATGCATTTAACTCTGCTGTATCCACATGGATTACTTGTATTATTTTACAATAAATACTACACATACCTTCGTCTCCTGTGGTGAGCTTCTCCCCTTAGGAGGATCCTTTGCTGGTCTTGCATAGCCCTGTCCCTGGAGAAGTCTGGTCCCTAATTTATGGCTTCCTGAGACCCCCCCATAAGGATCAACATTAACGCTATTATACAAGTAGCATTCTGACAAGTGCACATCGATATAAGGTGGTGGATTCCCATGTTGGATCATGAGCACTCCTGAGCATCCCAGCTGATATTGTTGCACCTTGTAGTTCCACGATCACCAGGCATTGCTGTGACCTGTAGTGCCACGGACTTGCATAATCCCTATTGCTAAATAAGCACACATGTATCACTAGTCACTTCTGTGACCTGTAGTGCAACAGACTATTTATATCCACTATTTTTGTTCAGATTTTTTGTAGTGTGTGTGTGTGTGTGTGTGTGTGTGTGTGTGTGTGTGTGTGTGTGTGTGTGTTTTCACTTGAATATTGTATGAACACTTATATTCACATAAGCACTTTGTGATTGCATTTGTCACTTTAGCGCTGCACTTACATTTGAATTGATTGCTGTGGGCTTTTTGTTACCTTGCCTTTTGTGCTATCAGCTACCATATTATCTGCACTCGCCTTATATCTTGTGTTTATATTAGTCTTGCATTGATAGTCCATAATTTATAGGTGTTGCCCCACTCTCCTCATCTGAGCATGAATGTTGGTTACTAGTGGTTTATCAGTTGCAGCTCGCTCGTGCATGTTTTGCTTATGGAGTTCTCTCCAGACAATTTTTGTGAACACAGGCTTTGGAAGACTGAAATTGAGCTCTGCAGTCAATTTTGCAGCAGTTGTCTTATTCCAAGTTACAATCCTGTGCAATGTCGTGTGTGTTTGTGTTTTTTTTTTTTTTTGTTTTTGTTTTTTTCGGTCAGTTGACATGTCGACTGCACTTACACTTAACAGACTAAGTTTTCCTGGAAACTGTATATGCTGTCACTTTTGATACTGTACCTCATGACATGGCAAATTGGCAACAAAGTCCGAGGCACCAGCTAAGCGGGAACCAACAATTTGCCCTCTTTGAAAACTCTGTAAGCTCTGACATGACTCCATATTAGTAGCAGTGTATGCCGTGAATGATTATGAAAGTGAGGTTTCCCACCTGTTAGCTAGGTGTCGCATCACACAGTGGAAGCAAAAGAATGTTGCACCACTTCTGTTTTCAACATGAAACATATTGTCACTTTCACACCTGCAAATCAATGTAGTGTTTCCATATTTGTCTAACCCCTGTAATGTTCCACAAATATATCGCACATTGAAGCTGCCACAATTTTTTTTTTATTTTTTATTTTTTTTCCAGGTTAAGCCATATAACGTTTATGTTACTGTTGCCTATCCTCCAGACACTGACACACCTGGGTTTGCTGAAGAGAACAAATCAAAGGTAGTATTTGCATATATCTTTACTGGTTCACTCCTATATCTAGGCTAAAGGTGCTGCTCGTAGTCATATTGACACTGGCACTTCAGTGTTTTATACTGGGAGAGAACAAGTGCGTACCTAAAACAAAACATACATTCCTATAGAGTAGAGCTCCTAATATGTGATTAGCACATTTGCTTCCAAATGAAAATACAACACAATCTTGCTGCTCACTGTAACTCACTTGCTGTCCTTGACACGTGTGGGGAGAGTGGAATTTGTGAATATCTAAAATTGTGCACAACCGTTTGGCCACCTGATTAAATGTGTGTTTTAATTGTAGAAGTTAAAACACAACTAAAAACTCCACAATACTCAGATATCTGCCCAAGTTTCTTGCAGGTGCTTGGTCTTTTGTTATCTTGATTGGTTTAACTCCTGGATGGATTAACTCCTACGCTCTGTGCTGAGAATGTAGCAAGGAAATTTCACAGATGGACTATCACAGTACCACGCTTGAATTCACTGAGCTCCTGAGAGCGACCCATTCTTTCACAAATGTTTGTAGAAGCAGTCTGCATGCCTAGGTGCTTGATTTTATACACCTGTAGTCATGGAGGTGATTAGAACACCTGAATCCAATCATTTGGAGGGGTGTTCCAATACTTTTGGCAATATAGTGTATGTTCATGCATATGCAACTCTTGTAACCACTAATTTCAAATGTAAATGATGAATGTTTCTGTTAACCCATGTTTTGTCTCATTTCAAGCCACTGGAAACCAAGTTAATTTCAGAATCTTCAAGTCTTTGCCAACCTGAACAAGTTGCCAGAGTAATAGTTAGAGATGCCATAGTAAGTATGAGGGCTTTGCTCAATTCACCTGTGAAGTACACATTTTACGTCTGATCATGCATTGGAAACAGTTTATCCCCAGTTTAGAATTTTTTTCCCCCCCTTGTATATGATTTAAAAGTGTTTTTCTTTTAGGTTTGGGGGACAGGACACTTAGAAATGTGAAATGGTATATAAATTTATGGAACAACTAAAGTGTTCTTCCATATTTTTTTTGTGACTGTTTTTTCAGAATTGTGAGGGTTTAGACAATCTAATTGTGATAAGCAAATAGTAAGGCTTTTGAAAACCTGGAAAATGACAGTGACCTTTTTGTCTGTGGTGGAGTCAGAAGGACTTCACAATCAGAGAGTATTTGGATACATCCAGTCATTTATCATGGCCATCTGGATGACGGCATATAATCTCAAGTAATATGAGATGCATTCATACACACCCCCCCCCCCCCCCCAGTATTTCTGAAATTTCACATGTATAACACATACCTATGTATACATGAACACCTAATTCCTTGTAATTGTGTATATAAGCAGTAAACAAAAAGGGCTACAGGAATATACTCTAAGGTGATGCTGAGATGGCAAACCTCTGATAAATGTCATACTACTTTGTATGCATACATTAATCAAATGACCATTTGACAAATTGTCTGACTGCCAAAACAGAAGTAATGTTTTGTGCAGATGTGTGCTAAATTCCTTGCCTAGACATCCGCCATCTTTGCAAGGCCATATTGGGTTTTTTTTTTTTTTTTTTTTGGTGAACACATTGTAGGGAATTGGCAAAGCTTCCTATGTTGGTATAATGGTGCAAGAAACTGGCACGAGAGGCTTGCACCACATTAACAGAACACCATCTGCTAGTTCTATATCAGGTGCTTTTTCTGTACCTAATTAACAAGGGGATCCCTGGCAGATCAGACCTGACATACTGGATGTTGTGTAATATCTGTTGGTAATCTGGTAGAGAGCTCATATGCTTCTCTCTGCCTACGCAGTGATCACTTGAAAACTGAACAAAATATTGTTACCCCAACAGCAGGAGACGATTTGTTTTTGCTGGTAGATGTTTTTGATTTCATTTTTTATGGCTGGACACAGACCTGTTGGTGCGAATGATCTGTACCCTTGCCAGCTGACATATCACAGAATTGGAGTATACAGAAAGTCTTGTCATATTCTGAGCCTTGTGTTTTCACTTTTGTTATAACCTATTCTTAAAGTGGTTGCTATCAACTGGTGTGTGTTTTCTTGGGGTGCTCAAAATTGTGTTTCCGGGTAGGGGGTCATTGGCAGCCTCACCTGTCGATCACTGGGTCCTGGCCGGTGATTCTTCGTCGTCACCCGAACGGGGGAGAGACCTGTATGTAAACAAGACAGATCTCTCCCCTGTCAGCTCCTGCACACTGCTTTGTATGGCTCTTCATAGCAGAGCCATACAAAGAAGTGTGCTTACAGTGTAAAGCGCACACACAACCCCTTTCTGCCCAAAGGGTTAACTGGGTACTAACATCTGGGGCAATCGGTGTCGTTCGTACAGTGTCAGTTCTTTTTATTAGCACTGATCACTGTATTGGTGTCGCTGGGGATGTCAGTGGCAGTTCCTCCCCCCTGTGTCAGAAAGCCTGCCGCAGTTCGCTATAAGTTGCTGATAGCTGCCATTACTAATGTATACAAAAAACAATTCCAGTATCTATACCGTCATTTGTAGACGCTATAACTTTCACGTAAACCAGTTAATTTACACATAATGGGATTTTGCCTTAGCAAAGACATGTAGCAGAATACATTTTTAGCCTAAATTTTATTGGACATGTTTAATAGCAAAAGTAAAAGGTTGTTTGTGCAAATACCACCAAAATAAAGCTCTATTTGTGGGGAAAAGACATATAAATTTCATTTGGGTGCAGAGTTGCATGACTGTGCAATTGTCAATTAAAGTAACGCAGTGCCGTATCACAAAAAAATGGCCTGGTCAGGAAAGGGGGTAAATCCTCTGGAGAAGAAGTGTTCTCATGGCACTATAAAAATTAAATATAGCTTGAACAATGTCTGCTAAAAATAGATTCAATTTTTGTGTGTAAACTGTATTCATTTTGTTGAGATAAAGCATACTGTGCTTGTCTTGGGAACACGGAGAGGGAGATGAGTGACAGGTCCATCTCCTTTTATAACGCAACATCAGGGATAGAGGGTGCATGCCATTACCCTTAGTCCTCATGCACATTGATGTTTTTTTGTTTTTTTTTTCTTTTTGATTTTTCTACAGCCAGTAAACTCCCCAGCAAGTTATCCTATATTTCCATGCACACAGACTGTAATCAGCATTTTTTTTTTTTTTTTTTCGGGGGTGGGGGGGGGGCTGGGAAAAAAAAACTCAGAACTAGTGGGTTTCTAGAGGGTTTTTTAGCTGTAAAATGCAGCAAACCAGACCAGGTGTTTTTTTTTGTTGTTTTTGGTTTTGGTTTTTTTTTTAGCAAAAAAAAAAAAACACATGCCACTTAACACTAATGCTAAAACACTGTAACTCGTGGTTTTAATGTGACTTCACACAGCTAATGCTACCAGCATTATTAAAAAGCCCAGTCTGCATAGAGCCTTACATGCTCTGTTTACACTATACCCAGAAGCAGGGGCGGACTGACCATTTGGAAACTCGGGCAATGCCTGAGGGCCCGGGGTCAGTAGGGGGCCCCATGAGATGCCCCTGGTACCTTTTTTTTTTTTTTTTTTTTTTTTTTTTTTTTTTTTTTTTCACATAGGCTTTTTTGAGTTTGGGCAAGGACACAGGGGCCCCATGATCCCCTATTGCCCGGGGGCCCTATGAGTTGTCAGTCTGCCCCTGCCCAGAAGCAAGGGATAAAAAGCAACATATACTGTGAGACTGGAGCATGCAAAAAATAGTGAGAGTTTTAATTATAATAGAGGTTTTAAATTGAACCTGTATTATTTATTTTTGGGGAAATGGGTTCATCTTACAGAATGAACCTTAAGCAGCCATTATTTACCTTCCCTGCACATCCTGTTACCAGTCTGCCAAGAAGTATCTGAAATTTTTTTGGTATGGAATGAGTCATGACTTTTCTCTTGGCTCCCTACAATGCAGCACTCTGTGTCCAATTAGTTTCTAAACCGAAGAATCATGTGGGGGAGAATGTGCTTGGACACTATGCGCAGAAATCTCTGATCAGAGCAATAGCAGATTGCAGGGAAGGTTAGGACTATCTGCTTAAATTCCATCTGTAGGTGATCTTGGTATTTTGCCCTTTGACAAAGAACAGGTTCACTTTACAAAAAAGGACTGATGCATTAAAGCTGGAGGAACAAATGGCACCACACCGGAGTTTGAGATTTTACCTGAAATAAGATAAAACCTCATTTGGCAACCTAACTGGTTGTTGCTGGCAAATTTATTTGTGTGCTCATTTTCTGTTCCCAGTTTTATTGCATCCGGTCCAAAAGGAGGATCAAAAACAGCAAGTGCCAGGTTTTGTTCATTAAAACAAGTCTGTGGGTGTACCTTTTTTGGGGTAAATTTTTTTTTTTTTTTTTTTTTTTTTTTTTTTTTTTTAATTTGGCTTGGATCCTTTAGTTAACCACTTGCCTACTGGGAACTTATACCCCCTTCCTGTCCAGGCCAATTTCCAGCTTTCAGCACTGTCACACTTTGACAATTGCGCGGTCATGCAACACTGTACCCATATGAAATTTTTATCATTTTTTTTGTGACCGAGCTTTCTTTTGGTGGTATTTAATCACCTCGGGGTTTTTTATTTTTTCTTAAACTAAAAACCACTGAAAATTTTGAAAAAAAAAAAGTTTTTTTCTTAGTTTTTGTTATAAAATTTTGTAAATAAGTGATTTTTCACTGATGTACGCTAATGAGGCTGCACTGATGGACACTGATGAGGTGGCACTGATGGGCATTGACAGGCATCACCAACAGGCACTGATAGGCGCCACTGACTGGCACTGATAGGCGCCACTGACTGGCACTGATAGGCGCCACTGACTGGCACTGATAGGCGCCACTGACTGGCACTGATAGGCGCCACTGACTGGCACTGATAGGCGCCACTGACTGGCACTGATAGGCGCCACTGACTGGCACTGATAGGCGCCACTGACTGGCACTGATAGGCGCCACTGACTGGCACTGATAGGCGCCACTGACTGGCACTGATAGGCGCCACTGACTGGCACTGATAGGCGCCACTGACTGGCACTGATAGGCGCCACTGACTGGCACTGATAGGCGCCACTGACTGGCACTGATAGGCGCCACTGACTGGCACTGATAGGCGGCACTGACTGGCACTGATAGGCGGCACTGACTGGCACTGATAGGCGGCACTGACTGGCACTGATAGGCGGCACTGACTGGCACTGATAGGCGGCACTGACTGGCACTGATGGATGACACTGAAAGGCAGCTCAGAAGGGTACTGATATGTGGCATTGATGTGCACTGGTATGCACTGATATGTGGCATTGATGTGGCACTGATAGGCACTGGCAAGTGGCACTGATTGGCACAGACAGCTGGCACTGATGGACTGTCACAGGTGGCACTGCTGCGGCTACACTGATCATCAGGGCACACTGATCATCAGTGCCCTGATGATCAGTGTACATATCCCCTCCGCGGAAAGCCGATTACCGGCTCTCCTCTCGAGCTGTCAGTGTGACAGCTCGAGAGGAGAGAAATGCCGATAACCGGCATTTCCCTGTTTACATGTGATCAGCTGTGATTGGACACAGCTAATCACATGACCAAGCCGACATCCTTGGCTCATTCCGTGATTGGTGATCCGCTGTGTCCAAGGGAAATAGCGCACCGCCGATCGCCGCGTTGCATGCTCCCTGAGCCGCGCATGCGCGATGAGAATGGGAGGATGTCATATGACGTCCTCAGAACGAGAGAACCACCTTGCACCCGTCATTGGACTATGTGGCAGGCGGGAGGTGGTTAAGGTCAAGGCAGTATCAAGTTATTTTCAAATGTTGCTGCCCTAATTTCACTCGTTTTGCATTATTGTGAACTTCCTAACATAATCTTGCTATTAAATGTTTGTGTTTTTTTTTTTTTTTTTTTTTTTTTTTTCTCTTACCATCTAATTGCAGCAAGGTAATTTCAACAGTTCTGTTGGATCTGATGGCTATATGCTGTCGTCTTTAACATGTGGCATGTCACCTGTCACCACCATCACAGAAGGACTCCAGCAGGTAATAATATTTGAAATGTGTTAGTTGATTGAGACTGAAAAGGTACCAGGATGTGACTTTTGATTACTATCCTTTTTCCAAGACCTAGGTTAAAATGTTGCATACTGCAAACAAAAGAATTTCACCCTGCAATTAGGACTGATGCCATGTTCTTTGCTGTTTTATTAAACTTACTCTAGTTCTGCATGGCTGGAGCATATCACAGATTATCTTTCCCAGCTTTTCAAGCTTTCTCTCAAATTTAAAATATACAAAAAAAAAGTTTCAACCTACCTTTAAAAATTTTGAAGAAAAAAGCAACAAATATGGATTAGTCAATGCTGGTTAGGGCCACACAGGTAAAAAGCCATACAATCCGTACCCTGATATTTGTTCAGATCCATTTTGTGACCATTCTTCTCTCTTCTACAATGGAATGTGAGTAATGAATTTTCAGCCACTTGGTTGCATCTTCAGTGATTAAAAAGGGATTATTGGAAAGGCACCCAGATTCAAAGTGGTAGTAAAGGTAAAAAAACAAAACCTTACAAGGTAAAAGCATAAAGTACTACAATGCATTGCATACTAGCACATTGTGAAAGACTTGCCTGAGAACAAAGCCGTCCACCGCTGCAGAGACTTCTGTCTTCATCTGGTCTTTCTTCTGGGTTTGCAGGCTGTGGCTGCACGGAGTGAGTGGCCAAGCTGTGATGACGTCACTCCTGTGCATGTGTGCCACGGCACAGAGCTGTGAAGGAACAGCACCGGTATACTGTCCCTTCAGAGTGCATGTGCACGTGATGTCACTGGCTGCTGCTCCCTAGAATATCTCCTAAATGTTTAGTATACGCTTACCTGTAGGTAAAAATCAAGATTAAGAGTTACTTTACTTTTAGCCTCATTCATCACTTCCTTCACTATGCTACTTGTGTGCATGCTCAGCTGCAGGATATTGGCAACAAAATTGAGCAAAGAGCATGAAAAGGGGGAGTCATACATTTCTTTATTGATGACATACTGTCTTCTTTTAGTGCCTTAAGCTGACTGATGATATAGGGCCCCATTAGTGAAGTGAAAATAATGGGCTCGTTTGAAAAACAGTAGCATGACCTCCATTGCTTGTGCATTACAGGAACTCTGTGCTCCACTACCCTCTAAATGAAAGTTGTATTTGGGGGAAGTTCTGGGAAGAGAGCCTGGTCATGTGACTTGTCAGTCACCTAACTGGCTATTTCTATCACATATCTGGCTATTTCTATCACACATCTGTCTCTGCTTAAGGGAAATGCAGAGCGCACCATAAGGCGGCACATCACAAGTTTTGTGAATGGGATATTGTCACTGTAATGAAGGAAGGAAATGTTATAAATGTGCCTCTGGCATCTCCTTGTAGGAAAGTGTTTTTGCCCCCCCATGTAATACTTTGAAAATGAATTAGTTGGGTTATAAGGGATGTTTGACTTTGCTAGGGCAACACCTTTCTAAGGCTAGTTCCGCTTTTAGATTACCAGAACTATGCTGGAGTCTTTTGTTCTTGGTGACTCAGGGTTGTGTATGTGCCTATGAATAAAGATTTAGATTGAAAAAAATAAATAAAATTGCACTTGAGCTTTGATAGTATTTTAATACTACTGATTTCCATTCTAGGTTGTCACAATGGGACTGTTTCGTACAATTGCATTGTTCTACCTTGGCAGTTTTGACAGTATCGTCCGTCGCTGCATGATGCAAAAGCAGACCTGTGAGCAAGCCAGTAAAACAGACTGAACCTTGGACTGCCAAGAACTTAATTCAAATGCTTGCTGCTAGAAAGTATATGACCTGAAGATAATTCTACCATCTGACTAGATTATACTGTTCCCACCATGGAGCTACATGTCTAAATGAATAGGGAAGAGTGTTTGAAATATGCTGAGCACCAGCATGGTACTATGCAAATTGTATTGAGGTTTATACTTAAGGTTTTTTTTTTTTTTTCTTAAAGTATTGCCTAAAATATTTTCTGATGTTCAATTTGCTCTGTTCCTTATCACCTTATGCTCTATCCATTTTTTTTTTTTTTTTGCTGAATTATCCATCTTATCTAATGATGTGAATGGATGTTATAAGGCACAGTTATCAGCATTTTGCAATCTGATACTGAGCAATAATTTCAACTGTTATTCAGAGTAAACTATTTCAAAATGTTAAAACTGAACACTGGGCAGATATAAGACACAAAGTAGTGTAGCTCTTCATTCATTCTTTAATGTTTGTTTTTTTTTCTCTAATATCCAAGCAGTTTAAGTAACTGAATTTTGATTTGGTATCAGCCTCTTACAGTCCCTTGTACAGCAGAACTCAACCATGAAAAGGGTAAGCGGCATAAGAAGCCAATATGTTGTGCTACAGTGCAAGGAGCTTACTCGGAGCAGAGTGCTCAAGAGAGGAATACATTGGTCTGCTGCTTCTCCTCTTCACGGTCTATTCACAGGGTAGGGGAACATCAGGTCTCCTATCCTGCCATACAAGACTTTGTGGTATGGCAAAGCTGTGTAAATCTCAGGACTGGATGATGAATATAAGTACAAATTTTCCAGGCAAATCAGCTACACTATACACTGCTTTAAAAAAAAAAAAATTAATGTAACAATACATCAGATCTCAATGGGGAAATAAATATGCTGGATCTCTATACTGATATGGACTGGGTAATGGGTTAGGAACGTAAGGATGCCCCATCATTTGATGGAAGTGAAAAGTATCAAGCTACAGAGGACTGAATTCAAAGACACCTCCAAAATCAAATTGAAAAAAAAAATTATGCAGCAAGCTAGTCCATTTTGCTGCAATTTCATTGTAGCAACTCAAAATGGTACTCAGTAGTTTGTATGGCCCCCACATGCTTGTATGCATGCCTGAAAATGTCAGGGCATGCTCCTAATGAGACAATGAAAAGGTGTCCTGGGGTATTTCCTCCTAGTCCTGGACCAGGGCATCACCGAGCTCCTGGACAGTCTGAGGCGCAACCTGATGGCGTCTGTTGGACCGAAACATATCCCAGAGCTGTTCTATTGAATTTAGGTCTGTAGAGCGTGGAGGCCATTCAATGGTATCAATTCCTTCTTCATCCAAGAACTGCCTGCATACTCTCGTCACATGAGGCCGGGCACTGTCGTGCACCAGGAGGAACCCAGGACCCACTGCACCAGCGTAGGGTCTGACAATGGGTCCAAGGATTTCATCCCGATACCTAATTGCAGTCAGGGTGCCATTGTCTAGCCTGTAGAGGTCTGTTTGTCCCTCCATGTATATTCCTTCCTCAGACCATCATTAACCCACCACCAAAATAGTCATGCTGAACAATGTTACAGGCAGCATAACAGTCTCCACAGCTTCTCCAGACCCTTTCATGTCTGTTAAATGTGCTCAGGGTGAATCTGCACTCATCAGCGAAAAGCACAGGGACCCAGTGGTGGACCTGCCAATTCTAGTGTTCAATGGCAAATGCCAATTGAGCTCTATGGTACCTGGCAGTGAGCACAGGGCCCCCTAGAGGACGTGGGGCCCTCAGTCCACCCTCATGAAGTCTGTTTCTTTGGTCGAAGACATTCACACCAGTAGCCTGCTGGAGGTAATTTTTGTAGGGCTCTGGCAGTGCTCATCCTGTTCCTCCTTGCACAAATGAGCAGATACCGGTCCTGCTGATGACCTTTTACGGCCCTGTCCAGCTCTCCTAGAGTAACTGCCTGTCTCCTGGAATCTCCTCCATGCTCTTGAGATGCAGCAAGCCTTCTGGCAATGGCATGTATTTATGTGCCATACTGGAGGAGTTTGACTGCCTGTGCAACCTCTGTAGGGACAAGGTATTGCATCATGCTACCAGTAGTGACACGGACCCTAGCCAAATGCAAAACTAGTGAAAAACAGTCAGAAAAGAGGAGTAGGGAAAACAATTTTCAGTGGCCTCTAGCTGTAAAAACCATTCCTGTTTTGGGGATCGTCTCATTGTTGCCCATCTAGTGCACCAAAACAGCTGAAACTTAAAACCCCATCTGCTACTTAACTGAACAGATAAATACAAAATGAGTTTAATTGACTTGATGCTATACTCCTGATTAAAAAAAAAAGTGTTCCTTTTTTTATATTTTTTGAGCAGTGTATGTAGTTATCCATATTGTCCTGCATTTCAGCTTTATGCTGCAGCTCTTTCTCCAGTATGTGATTTTTCAATTGGAGCAGAAGTGACCAGCAGCTTTTAAAATGTTAAATTTATTAGATCTGTTTCCCAGCAAATATTTGAGTATTTGCAGTTAGTAACTATTGCAAAAGTTCAGTGTTGGGTCATATTGTAACGTGTGCAGTGCCTACTTTTCTCCATGGTATATGTTGATGAAATTGTATTGAAGAGGATTTTGTTAAAGGCCAAAGACATTTTTAAATCCTCACTTTACTGTTAAGCTGAGGTTTTCCTTGAACAAATTTAACTTGTAAATAGCTAGCAGTGTTGTTTAATAGTGAACTGTTTTTTGATTTTTTTTTTTTTTTTTTTTTTTCACTTCTAGGATGTCAGACTGTTGTTTCTAATACAATGTTGGTGCCTTTTTATGCTAGAGTCCAATTTGGGTGTATTCATTGGGAATGATTAGAACAGAAAATGTTGGGACATTGAAGCAAGTGCTAGCCCAAAGTTTTATCCTGCACAGTTTTTACATTACTGATCTCGTGCTACGCTTTTGATGTCTATTTATGAATAGTCAGCAATAGCAATGCACTTACAGGGTACTCGTACAATATGTATGGAATAATCGCTGTATTTACTAGGGTAAAATGGATCCTTGTGGAATATCCAAAGCAACCATTCAAGAAAAAATTCCTGGGTATAATCAACATCTAGAAATTTAGTTTAAGAACCTAAAAGTTGTGATTCAAGCATGTTTTTTTTGTTTTTTTTCTTTTTTACACAAACAATGATCTGTGTTCTATACTTTGTATATTGTTTGTACATATCTGTGTCTATAGCACTACTATTGTTCTCACCAGAATGGAATGTGCCTTTTCTAAGTTACTGTGAAAATATTATTGGTCCTTGTGAGGCACAGTGTTGGGGGAACAAAAGCTCTGTGTCTAGTGTAGAACATATTTCAGGGAAATCGCAGCACTATTGTGTTCCTCCAACAAGTAGCTAAATGCTGTAACTTGCTTTTTATATAATAACAGATATATGAAATCTGTAGCCTATTGTGAGATCAGTTCAAAAACGTTTTGCCTCTAGTGGCAGCACTGATGTGGCATTCTTCTATATCTACCCAGGCCTGTTCTAACCTATTACACAAAATCAAGCTGTGCGTTGTATTTAAAGGTAAGCCTAATCCCTCCCCCAGTAAGTGTTTTTTGCGCACGCAGTGAATCAAATACTGTCCCACTGCAATCCACTGACAATGGTGAGTTTAGCCTGCCCTCTGCCCCCTCTGTGAACCTGCCCCTGCAGCCTCCTTGCAAATTTCTTTGGTCACACAGCCTCCTGGGATACTGGACATTTAATTCTGGGATGTTGCACTTAGGTTGTGCATTTTGTCTCTCTCAGGGGAAGTTATAAGCCTGCATAATTATTGGGCAACTATTTGTGTGTGGAATTATTACTGTAAAACTTGAGAATAAACAATAACATAAAATTAAATATAACATCCTTGCCTTTCAGAAATATTCAGTGATTTAACCTAGCCCCTTTATTTTTAATAACCACCCTAGCCCTATCCATGGGGTCTGTTGATCTGTGTGCAATAAACATTTGCTGAAGCAACAACCACCGCACATGCTGTTTTAAAGTGGGTGTATTGTCTTCTCTCACTATAAGTGTCACATTTGAGAAGGACTCCTAAGTTCTCAACAAGATTTAAATCCAATGACTGGGCCAGGGTATTTGGTCATCTTGACCTTTGCTGGCAAGCCAAGCAGTGGAGTATTTGGATTTATGCTATGAAAATCATGAACATAGCTGATTGCTTCAAGAAATTATTTTCTACAAACCGGCAGAAGGGTTAGGAGTTGATTTTCAGACTGTTTTTCATCTGCCAAGCCCCAGCTTAAAGGAGAAGTTTTACCTTTTGACAAAAAATATAAAATGCACTTTTTTTGCAGGTAAAAAAAAATGCATTTATTATTATTTTGTGTTGCAGGAGCCTGTAAAGCATTGCACCAGCGATCAGCAGATCACTGATGCCATGCAGGTCTCCTGAAGACCTGTCGGTATATCTGCTTGCCTGTACAGAATGTAGGGGTAAGCAGATATACTGATAGGAACATTCTATGAATAACCATGGTGCTCCGCAGCGCTATGGTAGTACATTGAAAACTACAAGCTGACAGTCCCTAAGGCTTTTGAGACTTGTAGTTAATTCATTCACAGAACTCTGAATTAATGACATGGTTGTATGGATAGAGCCCCGCACGGCCGCACTATTTGTTTTTAAAAAGTGACTGCTTGTGTGGGGAACCTCTCCCTGTACTGCTGTCACTGGGAGGGGGAGAATCGGACAACGGCTGCAACATTGGGAACATATTACTTGCTCCACCCTAAAAACAAGTGGAACATGTAACATGTTCCCAAAGGTGAACTTATCCTTTAACCCATTCTTGATGGCATCCTACACCAGTACCCCTCCCCACCTTGCTGGCACCTG